ATTCCCTAAATCCTTAAAAAACAAATCCCATCGGTTTTCTAACTTATTCTTTTTTTTTAAACTCCACTAACTTCCCTAACGACTAGCGACTTTTTGCAACCCCCTTCGCGCACTAGCTCGGGGCAATAGCACCTCCGTGGGTCATTCTGTGAGGTAATGTGGTGCAGGTGCTGGTGCGGGCAGTGCAGGTACGAGTGCAAGGTACAATGGTGCAGTAAAAAAACACACAGGGTGCAATGGTGCAGGTGCAGTGCAACACACAGTGCATGGCGGTGACTGTTAGTTGGCCCTAGTGTTGTTAAGCGTAAAAAGTGATAACAGTAATCAAAAAGAATTGAAAAAAAATAAGGACTTAACCAGCATTTGAGGGACGAGAAGAATATATATATATATATATATATATATATATATATATATATATATATATATATATATATATATATATAAACACACATATATATTGTTTTCTTCTGTCTTTCGTGGAAATCCTCAGCGAAGGAGGATTGTCTCTTTTCTCCTTCTTCGTCTTCGGCGTCGGATGAACGAGCTTGTTCAACGACCAATGCCAAGCGTCAATTCCCTCGACTGCTAGTTAAGGACCTCTGGCGTTGTGGCGACAAAATGAGATCATTGGGCAAGGTGGTATGCCCTTAATTCCTTGTATTTGTATCCAAGAATATTTCATCTTTATCTACCTTCTTTCGTATTTTCGTATTCCTTAAGTTTCGTCCTTCCTCTTCTCGGTGGTTTCCTTTTTCTTTTATTTATCTGATCGTCTTCGTATTCATTTTTTTGGCAATTGTCTGTAGACTTCTTTTGACTGAAGAAATGCTGAAATATATGTATTACTTTTTCTTCATATCTTCAATTACCGAGAAGAGAATACGTATCATTATTAGGACGACGTGTATACTTCTTGGAGCGCGTGAGCCTTGATCTCCGTTCTTCTCTCTCGCTCTCAAGGAAAATCAGCTTCGACGAGAGAGATACGCAAAGGAAAGAGGAGGAATCGAGGTGAACAGATTCGTGGAGCCTTTGAGGAGAGAGAGTTCTTCAAACGTCTTGTGGGGAAAAGTAGTCAACGTTTCAGAACCTCAAAGTCTTACCTGAGGCCTATTGTACTGAGGCTTCATTTGTGCTTTTCTCTTCCTCTTCGCGAGCTTCTTCCCCCCTTTGGGCGCTGCGTTGTGGACTCGAGGGCGCGAGACGGCGGCAAGGCGGAGGGGGGCGGTGGGAAAGGGGTGGCGCAGAGGGGAGGGGCGCGCCTAGTGCCACGGGCGCCACATGCTCTGCGGTGGCGGGGGCTCCCTCGGGGGGCTGCTGTCCTTGCGGGGCTTGGGGGCGTCGCCGTGGGCGGGGCGCGGGGCGTAGGTGGGCTTGGGCGCGAGGACGGGCTGGCGGCGGGGAGCGGCCCGCGGGGGGCCCGCCGGCGCGCCCAGCTCCTCCCGGAAGTGGTTGCTGCTCCACACCTGCGGCCTGATGGTGGGTGACGCGCGCGACGTCCCGGGGGCGCCGCGCCTCGGGGACGCCCTCCCGCCCTCCTCCAGCGGCAGGGGTGACCCCGCGCTGCTGACGGAGGACAGCGGCGTGCTGACCCCGGAACTCATGTCGCTGTCGGACACGTCGTGCGGCTCCGTGCCCAGCGCCGAGTCGTCGCTGCCGGCGGAGAGCGCGGGCGGCTGCACCACGACGGAGGCGGGCGCCGACGCCTGGCTCCTGCCGGACGTCAGGATGGCGGTCAGCACGGGCGACGACGCCTGCAGCGCGGCGCTCGGTTGCCGCCGGTCTTCGCCGCCGGACGCGCGGGCGGTGGGCAGGGCGGCCGGCAGCACGAGCGCCAGGTCGCCGTTGCTGAGGCGCGTCGGCAGGATCTGCAAGCCGCCCTGCTGTGGCTGCGGCTGGAGCTGCGGGAGGGCCTGCTGCGGCTTGGCGGTGGTCACGAGCGTCACGTGCGGCTGCGCGCCCAGGGAGTTCCCCGCGCTGTCCTGGAAGGCCACGGGCTGCGTTGCCACGGGCGCGACCTGCGGCTGCACGCACGCCCCTGCGGCGGCGGGCGCAGTGTTGAGCACGAAGATGATGGGCGGCGGGTTGGTGGCCACGTTGACGCTGTTCTGGACACAGGTGGCGTTAGTGTTGACGTTGGAGGTGACGGAGGACGCGATGGCGTTCAGGTGGCTGAGCACGTTGGCGTGCAGGTCGTGCGGCAGGCCGTCCATGCCCGACAGATAGCGCGACACCTCGGCGGCGCACTGCGCGAAGCCGGCGCGGTACTTGGACATCTCGTCGCCGCCCGCCATGCGCCCGCGCATACCCGCGGACTCGTGGCGGTGCAAAGCTTGCACGTGGCGCACCGTCATCTCCAGGATGTCGGCCTTCTCGAGCTTGCTGTAGCGGGAGGGCTGCGGGAGGAAGGCTGTCTTAGTGGCGCACACGCATGGAAAATAAAAGCTGCTTCCACACAGACAGAAAAACAAAACAAAACAAAAAACAAACAAATGCAAACACACAAAAATATAAATACAAACACACTCACACCCACACAACAACAAAATCAACTATAACAATATCAACCCCCCCATAAGCCCAGCCATTCCCCCCTCAGACGCGCAGACGCCAACAGCAGCGCATAAGCCCTGGTCTACTCACATCCTTCTTGAGGGCCTCCAGCACCAGCGTCTTGAGGTCGTTGAGGCAGCGGTTGATCCTCTGGCGCCGCTTCTTCTCCATCAGTGGCTTGTTGCTCTGAGGGAGATGCAGAATCCGTTAGTATGACGTCATCGAGGCTGCTGATGCTGTCCAGTCAGGAAGTAGGGGAGAGGTAGGGAGGGAGGGAGGAGGGAGGAGAGGGAGAGGAGAGGAGAAGAGAGGAATGGAGGAGGGAGGAGGAGGAAAGGAGGAGGAAGGGGATGGGGGAGGGGGAGGATGGATATGGGAGAAGGATGGGGATGAAGAGGAGATAGGGGAAGGGGAAGAGGAAGGTGAAGGGAGAGGAGGGGAGGGGTGGGAAGGAGGTAGGGAAGAGGAGGAGGAGGAAGAGAGGTAGGGGAGAGGAGAAGGAGAGGGAGGAGGAGGGGAAGGAGGCAGCAATGCAGAGGGAAGGGAGGGGGGGAGGAGGAATGGGGGAAAGGGAAAACCCCGTTTTTGTGGAGTCCTCCCGTTGTGGGCAAAAGCAAGTTTATTTTGTTGATTTTTATTTTATACTTTTGTTTATTCGATTTATCAACTCACATATACTCATCTATTCATGCAATATTGAATTATTACAATGGCAATAACCATCATTATCATCATCATTATCATCATTATTCTAGATATGATTATCATTATCCTTATCCTTAACACCATCATCATCATCACTGAATGCGAATTACTACCATTACTATTGTTATTATCATTATCACTTCAGAAATTATGATAATAACAACAGCAACGAATATAATCATTATCTTTCTGGTCTATTCCTTTACTTATTATATATTTCTTTTAGGTGGGGGAGTTACCTGGTGATGTAAGGGGTGGGAGTGAGGGAGGGGGGGGGAGGGAGAGGAATACAGAGGGTGATGAGAAATATAAGAAATTCTATCAAGACTGAAATCAGAATAACATCATTGGGATACGAAATAAACTTATAAGTGAAGATAACCACACGAAAGGAGAGACGAAAAGGAGGAGAGAGAGAAGAGAGAAGGAAAATAAAACAGCGAAGACGACGTACAAATTCGGTAATGTCAGCGAACTTAGTCACCTCGACATTGGCACTGGCTTTGGCTTCCTCATACACGAACTCACTGAGGCGAGACAGACAAGTCTAGATAGAATTTACAAAAAAGGAAACGACAAAAAAATAAATTAAGAGTAAAAAAACAAAAACAAAAAAAAAACTGTCTGAACACGTTCTCGGCCGGGTACAGTTTTTAAAGAAATCCCTTTTATTACAATTTACTTCCAGTATTATATTCTTACTTCTTGTCAATGAACTTTGGATTCGGAAAAGCGAAACATTTACGCCTAAGATGTGGAATTTTCCGTCGGTATTCTTTGTAATTTCCCTATGTCAAGTTTTTATCTAATTTCCATATTAGGTATTTCGTCTAACCTCTATTAAGGTAAATCACCTTTGTTTCTCTTATATTCATATAAATAGAACTTTATATTTACTTGGATTTAAGGTTATATTTGCTTAGATTTGAATATAAAATTGCATATCCAGTCATTTAGTGTTCTTTACATGATCATCCCTTTGCAACAGTTTACCTGTCTTTGCCTCTTTTCGTCCCAATAATCAACTGCAGATCAACCTGTTCGTTCAGTGGTTCAGCATCCCTTTAACTTTCCTTTTCTCTCAGCACAAAATCTGCAAACTTTTATACTAGTGCAGGTTATGAACAACTTTTCTTTACTTTTCATTTATTATCTATATTATGTGGCATTACTTGCATGTACAGGTCTTGAACCCAAGTTTTGGTATTCATTTCCATAAGCGATCACTTTCTAAACTGCATTGAAGTCCCTACCAACTATTTAGCAAGTCACCGTTTTCTCCACAAACATACACACGAGGCAATTAGTTGCACTGACTGGCACTTACGCATGGATCGCCCCTTTATCCAGCTTCAAGTGACCCTTGCACGCACTCGGCAGTCATACACAGGCACGCGCAGGCACTATCTCCGGCACTCACCTTGCGAGTGGAGGCACTGTCCGCCGGGGAGGCCGTGCGACGGTGGGCGAGCAGGGTGTTCTCCGCTGTCATGTCATCCGTGAGTGGTTCTTCCTCCTCGAAGCGGTCCAGGAAATCGTCTTCGGGACACAGCTGGTCCGCGTCTTGGCTCAGGTGGTGGTACAGCTGGCTCGCAGTTGTGGCTTCGGTGGTTGCTGTGGCTAATATGTCGCCGCTGTGGTCCGTCTCGTGCTCAAAATGGGCGTATCGGCTCGGTCGCTGCGCCGCGCTGACGTGCGTCCTCGGCTGCCTCCCGCTCTCCACTGGCTGCTGTTGCCCC